TTTTATGCAGAGAATTATGTCAATGTGTGTATGGAGGCACTGGCATTTCAGGCCCCTTTCAGTCTTCTGGATTGCCAGCAAGGTCTTTCACTGATGTAAGCCTTCAACCAAAGGACAGATGCTGCAAGAGGCAGTGAAGAGGACTCAAGCAGGTATTGGAGTGCGTAGCCCAGGAGCAGATGCTTGGATCACAGCCTGGATCAGAAGAGGTATTTTATTACCTCTTCTGGAAGGAGGTATTGTTTTACCATGTCGGAAGGAGGCACAGATGATCCCTCTCTCTAAAGGGAGCGAACAATAAAATCATCTGGTTTTGAGGCTTGTTCTCATGCCTCTTCAGTGTGAATGTGCATGGCAGCCACGCAGAAAAGGGTCTCAATGAGCTTTGCCGCTTTTTTTTCCCATTGTGTCATCAAAATGAGAGATGAAGATGAGTGAGGCCAGTTTGAGGAGTTTTTGCAATTCCCCTGGTCCTGCTCCAGCCTTGCCCACAGGTTGGAAGAGACGCCAGGAGCCAGACTTTGATGATTCTTGTGGGTCCCTTCCAACTCAGAATATTCTGTGATTCTGTGATTAGAGGCATTTTCCTTTGAAGGTGCTGTGGGAGGCAGCAGGTGTTTGGCTTGGAAGGGTGCTCTGAGCCTGGGTCTGGTGCAGGCAGGAGTTTTTATCCACTTTGCTCGATGTACTGAGTGAAATGAGGCAGAAGGAGCTTGGTTAGGTGAGCATCGCCAAAATCTGGTAGGACAATCCCCCGCTGGGCCAGCGCTGCGCTTCCGCTCCGAGAACAATGGGAGTTTACACAACTGCAGCCCACTTGAGGTTTCTGCCTTGCTTCACGAGCCCCCGAATGTTACAGCTCTGCCTGATGTCCTTGGCTCTGTCCTGCTTTGGAAGGAAACATGCAGCGGCCTGTGCTGCCAATGCTATTTCCTCCCGCCTGTTCTTTAGAGGTCTCTTTTTCCAACAGCTGATCGGCTCCGCAGCTCCGGGGAGTACGTGAGATCCGGCTGGCCCACGAGCGGGCTGGTATGGCCGCCTGCCATGTTGTTGTTTGTATTGCTTTCATTTTTCTGGCGTTACTTGGCTCTTCCACGCAACTTGTTTTCATCCTGAACTATGTGCTCGTTATGTATCCAAACGCCCACGCGAGGTTTTGCATGAGGAAACTCGAAACACACGCGCGGTAGAGGAACAAGTTCCTGATGGGGGGGGGTGTGTGAGATATTTGTCTCCAGGCTGACACAAACGATTGTCATATCCCCTAGTTTCCTGCCCTTGGGTTTCCAGCTTTCTGATGACAAGCACGTGAACGTCGTGTGTGTATTGTCCCCCTGGCAAAGAGATGTGGGGAACATCTCTTGTGGTCACCTTGGTCTCTCCCAGCAACTCCAGCTACTGTCCAAGGCTCCCGTCCAGGGACCTCTGAGCTCGCCAGAAGGCTGGGCCCTGATCGCCAAAGGGACCCTGTTTGCAGCAAGGGAAGCTCTTGCTTCCCCTCCACGGCCCCTTCCTTACAAACCAGTCAGCCACAGGCAGCACGGATCCACCCAGCCAGCTCTGGTCTGGGAATTGTGCTGGAGAGTTTCAGTAAGGTCCCAGATGAGGGGCTCAGGAGGACAGCTCTGCAAGGTGTTCATTTCATAAGGACAAGGAAGCTCGTGAAGGGTCTGGAGCACAAGTCTGATGAGGAGAGGCTGAGGGAGCTGGGGGGGCTCAGCCTGAAGGAAAGGAGGCTCAGGGAGGACCTTCTCACTCTCTACGACTCCCTAAATGGGGATTGGAGCCAGGTGAAGTTTGATCTCTTCTCCCAGGTAACAAGAGATGGGATAAGAAGAAATGGCCTCAAGTTGCACCAGGACTGGATTGGATATTTGGAAAAATTTCTTCACTGAAAGAGTGGTCAGGCATTGGGACAGGCTGCCCAGGGCAGTGGTGGAATCACTGTCCCTAAAAGTGCCCAAAAAACATGTGGATGCGGCATCTGGGGACATTTTTTAGTGGTGGCCTTGGCAGTGCTGGATTAATGGTTGGACTTGACGGTCTTAGAGGGCTTTTCCAAGCTTAATGATTCTGTGACAAGTGCCCTCTTTTGGGGTTCTTCCCCAGAGCAGTGGGTCTCAGTCACTGCTGGAGGCAGGACAGGGTACATTGATTCCTTTGGGCTCCACAGGTTCCACAGATCCAGTGTTGCATTAGAGCAGGAAATGCAGCACAGACCTGGAGCAGCACAGTGGGATTCAGACACTCGTGTTTTCTGAGTCTCCCCTTCCTCTATGGCCCCCTCACCACTGCAAGGGCAGCCACCCTTGTTGGGAAACAGAGAGCTCAGCTGGAGGCTCCAGGCTGTGCAAAACTGCAGCACAGACGCTTCCCTGCACATCACACTCCTCCCCACCGTGCTCCGTCCACTCAGAGTGTGGAAAAACCCTCTTCTCCAGCAGCCACCAGTAACTGCGCAGCACCAGGAAGGCTGAGCTGGAGAAACCGGGGGTGGGGGGGGGCTCGGTTTGCAGCTCAGGTTTGCTTTGCTTCCTCACAGCCTTCCCTGCTGCCTGTGCTGCAGATGGAGAAAGATTTTCCAAGGCTGTCAGTACTGCGTATTTCACCAGCATTCCCTTCACTTTTAAGTCCAAAATGTGCTAAAAATACGCTGGCTTGGCATCCAGGTCTTGATTCAAGTGGTAACAGGATACTGGGCAGAGAAATCCTGGGGTGGTTTCACTGTGCAGCAGGGAGCTGCTGGCTCTCCCTCCTCTTCCTCCTCCTTCTCCTTCCTGGCTGCTGTGGGGCTGTCGCCCCCCACTCTCAATCTCCTAAATTTCACGTTCAGAGGTCACAGGTTTCCCATGTCATTGCTCCTCTTGTGCTGGTTGTCCGTGAAGCTCCGAACATTGAGGTGACGTCTCTTCCTCTGGGGTTGGGAGTATATTATTAGTAAAGTATTTGTTTTATTACTCCTGTGGTAATTCTGGGAGAGGAGGGATGCCCGCAGGCAGAAGTTTGGATAAGTGAAGTCTGAAATGCCACGGGAAGCCCACAAACTTCAAAAAGCCTCGTTAGTGCAGCAGCGGAGGGAGATGTGGATGTTTGTGCCTCATCCATGGACTTTGTGGTGTTGTTGCAGAGCTCTGTGGCTTTGATTCCAGTGAAAACACTGAGAACCCCCTCTGGGAAGGGGTCTTGAGATGAAGTGCTTGCTGTTCCCCCTCGCTTTTGAAACACCCAGTTGATGTTCAGCCTTCAAGGCTGCGGAACGAGTTTTTCATCCGCAGGCTGATTTTGCTGCCACATTCTCACTCGCTTTCCTAAAATAAAGGGGGAAAAAAAAATAAAAGAATCCTTGTGCTAATTTAATCTAGCCAGGCATCCTGCTGTCCTGCCTCATAATATCTCTCCAATCTGTCATTTCCAACAGACAGCGGTTTATTTGTTTGGCTTTTTTTTTCCCCCCATGGTCTTAAAGTATTTCCCCTGCTTTCTCCAGAGCTGCCCCAAGGATGTCCCAAGCTTCCCCCTGGCTTTGGTCGGAGCTCTGGGTGAAAACATCTCTCTTCTCCAGGAAAAACCCTAAACAACCTTAAATAGAGAAACTTGTAAAAGAATCGCCAGCTTATGTGCTGGCCCATCAGTGTTTGGGGTTTCAGAGCCAGGCTCTTGGCACATGGTGGTCCAAAGCACTGAAATCCAACCTGGTCCAGGTCTGGAGATCCCAAAGGGAGCGTCCCTCCAAATGGAGCACAGCATCAGAGACCCAGAGAGGTACCACAGCGCTGTCAGAGAATTATTCAGCAGCATCAATTGCAAAGGAGGAAACTATGAATACTTTAATGTTTAATATAGAATCATAAAATCACAGACAGGTTTGTGTTGGGAGGAACCTAAAGACCATCTTGTTCCAAACCCCTTGCCACGAGCAGGGACACCTTCCACTATCTCAGGTTGCTCAGAGCTCCTCCCAACCTGGCCTCGAACACTTCCAGGGATGGGGCATCCACAACTTCTCTGGGCAAGCAGTGGTGGTGGTGTTGACAGTTGGACTTGATGATCTTTAAGGTCTTTTCCACTCTTAATAATTCTATGAGTCTGTAATTCCAGGAGCCAGTTTGGGATCAAACCCCACTGGGTTTTCCCCTGGTAGGTGCTTGGGTAGATGCTCCCAAGCACCTACCTGCACGGGGCTGGGAAAGGAGCCATCCCCTTTGGTAATCAACACCCCACTCCAGCCTCATGGGGCAACCCCCTCGGAGCCCCTCAGCCCACCTAAAACCCCTCAGCACCCTGAGCCCCTCAGCCCCACAGGGCATTCACTGAACCCCTCAGTCGCACAGGACACCCCCTCAGGGCATCCCCCTGAGCCCCACACCCCACTCCAGCCCCACGGAGCACCCCCTGAACCCCTCAGCTCCTCAGGGCATCCCTCAAACCCTTCAGCCCCTCAGGGCACCCCCTGAGCCTCTTGAGCCCCTCAGGGCATCCTTTGAGCCCCTCAACCCCCCCTCTGACCCCCCTGAGCCCTTCATGCCCACAGCGCAACCCCCTCGAGCCCCTCAGGGCACCTCCTGAACTCCTTGAGCCTCTCAGGGCATCCCTTCAGCCCCTCAGCTCCCCCTCAGGGCACCCTCTGAACTCCTTGAGCCCTTCAGACCCAGGGGGCACCCCCCAGAGCCCCTCAGGGCTTTGAACATCTCGAACCTCTCAGGGCATCCCTCGAGCTCCTCAGGGCACTTCCTGAACCCCTTGAGCCTCTCAGGGCATCCCCTGAGCCCCTCAGGGCAGTCCCTGAACCCCTTGAGCCTCTCAGGGCATCCCCTGAGCCCCTCAGGGCACCCTCAGGGCAGTCCCTGAACCCCTTGAGCCCTTCAGATCCACGGGGCACACCCCGAGCCCCTCAGCTCGTCCCGCCCCGCCCAGCCGCATGTGTCCCCCACCGTCCCCTGCGCGGCCCCTTTAAGAGCGCGGCCCCTTTAAGGGCGCGGCCCCGCCCGCCGCGGTCGCTGCCGGGGCCGCTGCTGACAACAAGATGGCGGCAGCGGCGGCGGGTCCGGCGGGCGCCGAGAGCCGCGTGCTGGGCTACAGCCTGCACCGCTGGAGCAGCTTCTCCTCCACGTACCTGCCCGAGTGAGTGCCGGCACCAGCGCCGCGCCCGGGGCGCGCTCCGGGCTCCGGTCTGGGGGTGGCCGGGCGGCCGGGCCTGTGCGCGGCCTGCGCGGGGCCTGCGCGAGGTGGCGGCGGCGGGGGGAGCGGGAACGGAGCGGTGTGTGATGGGGGTGGTCTGTGCAGCGGAGTTTGGGGTTTCTTGCAGAGTTTTGCGGGGCTGTGTGTGAGGGAGGGGCCTGTGTATCGGGTTTTTGGGGGGGCGGTGTGTTCGCGTGCGGCTGTGCGGCAGAGTTTGGGAGTTTGTGCGGAGTTTGGGGCGCTGTGCGTGAGTGAGGATCTGTGCAGCGGGGTTTGGGGGGCTGTGCGTGAGTGAGGATCTGTGCAGCGGAGTTTGGGGGGCTGTGCGTGAAGGGAGTCTGCATATCAGGATTTGGGGGTTTGTGTGTGTGGCGTCTCTACAGCGGAGTTTGGGGCTTTGTACAGAATATGGGGGGCTGTGTGTGAAGGAGGATCCGTGCAGCAGTTTGGGGAGCTGTGTGTGTGTGTCTTTACAGCGTAGCTTGGGGGCTTATACAGAATTTTAGGGGGCTGTGTGTGTAGGGGGGCTGTGTGTGGGGAGGCTGTACAGCAGAGTTTGGGGGGTTGCGTGTGAGGGAGGGTCTCTAGAGCAGGGTTAGGAGGGGGTTGTGTAAAAGGGGGAACCTGTACAATAGAATTAGGGTGGCATTGTGTGGGGGGTCTGTACAGCAGGGTTTGGGGGGTTACGTGTGACGGAGGGTCTCTAGAGCAGAGTTAGGAGGGGGCTGTGTAAAAGGGGGAACCTGTACAATAGAATTAGGGTGGCATTGTGTGGGGGGTCTGTACAGCAGGGTTTGTCGAGGCTGAGTGTCAAGGAGGGTCTGTACAGCAGAGTTTGGGGGGGCTGAGTGTCAAGGAGGGTCTGTACAGCAGAGTTTGGGGGGCTGTGTGGGATGGCAGGTCTGTACAGCAGGGTTTGGGGAGCTGTATGTGTGGGGGGGTCTGCAAAGCAGAGCTGGGGGGCAAGAGGTGCTTGAAAGGGGTTCAGAGACAGAGCTGAGCCCCATCACTGGGGGGTGTATTTGGGGAAGTGGTTGATGAAGAGATTTGGGGGGGTTGTTTGGGGCGGAGGGTCTGGGCTGCAGGTTTGGGGTGATGAGTGAGTGGGGGGGGGGCTGGAGGGTCAGATTTAGGGGCCTTGAGCACCAGGGATGGGCAAGGGAAAGCTGCACCTAAGGAGGTGAAGCTGACCCAAGGTTTGGGAGAAGGACATTTGTGGGACAGGCTGGTCAGTCACTGGTTGAAATGGGGAGAAGGGTCAGTGCCCCCCTGCCCTGCAGGTGAGGGGCTGTCAGGTGCCTCTGGGCTCTGTGTTTTTTGGCAGCTGGGTGTCCTCTCCTGCCCTTGACCTGGAATGCTGGGCTCTGTCACCTACTGTGTGTGGCTTTTGGGGAAGGGGGTCCCCTGCTGCCCTCACCTCCTGCCTCTGGGAATTTGGGGGTTGGCAGGAGGAGGCAGGAGCTGTGCTTCACAGCCATGTGTTTGTGCTGCTGTACTACCCTGATCTCATCCTCAGTGGGAGAGTTGGCTCCGTGGCATTCAGCTACAGCCTGTTAAATTCCTCCAGTGACTGACAGAGAAGTTTGGAGTGACCACAGTGAGGTTTAGGTATAATAGTTTCAGTAACACCTTTTTGATAAGCCAGCCTTGGTGCTGGAATTTGGGAGGACCGTTAGGATCACAGGACAGCTGGGTCATTGTGGGTTGTAGAGCCTCACCTGATCATCGATTGTGCTGCTTTTACTGACCTTTGATTGAAGTATCCTCAACTCACCCGCTCTCAACAAGTGACAGAGTTGCCTTAGTTGTTAATTATTAATATCCTCAATTATCTCCGCTTTCCAAAATGAAGCAAACCTTTAAAAACAGGTTTTTAACTGAATTCCTTGTTGTTGTATCTTTCCCTGTGTTTGCTGTGTTAGGTATGAAAAAGAACTGGATTCTTTCCTAATTGATAAGGGGATTACTTAATTATCACCAAAGATTATCTTTCTTGTTAAAACAACTTGACTTTAAGGTGGCTCTTTCAGGTCTCTGATCATCCTGTAGTTATTTCTACCAGCATTTCTGGCTTTTAACTCTGTGTTGAAGTGTTGTTCCCTGAGCAGGAGGGTGACAGTCCGTTATTGATCTCACTGATGAGATGTAAACAGATAGTATTATCTTTCTCCTTGATACCCCTTTCCAAGGCTCCCCTTAGTCCCTCTTGCTCCAGGCTCATGTCAGGATTTAATGTTCACGTGGCATCTGCAGTGCTGCCCAAAGTCCTTAATGTCATTGCCTTCCCTGATACAATTCCCCTTCCTATAGCAGGGCTGGTGTTTTCCAAAGCATGACCTTGGATTTGGCTGTTTTTAAGATGTTGTTTAGAAGTGCTTATCATCGGGGAAAACAATTTTTATTGGCTTTTCAGCAGCGTAATCCCAGGAATGGGGTTATTCTCTGGCATGCTGACCTTGGTCTGAGGAATGCTGGTCTTAATGTGCTGTCTGCTCTGAAAGTTTTGGCTTTTACTTTCTAGCTTTTGATTCCCATGGGAATGCAAAAGGAGAGAGCTTAAATGCAGTCTGAAATGGAAAGGAAAGGCTTCGACCTGTGATTTGAGATTAGACTCTCAAAAAGAGAAAATGTGTGAAGAAACATAGGAGAGGGTGGGTTTTTTTTTTGGAGCAAAGATTGAAAACTTGAAAATTGCTGGGGCAGGAACATAACATACTATGGGATGGACATGCAGGTAGAGCTAAAACTTGTCTTAGTGTTTGACATGAGGAACAGAATGATGCTTGTCTGGAAGGAGTCAATCTTAGATGTGTTTCCTAACCTAAATGATTCCACTATAATGAGAATTCTGGTTATGCTGTAGTTTAAAGTTTGAGAAAGTTTTCTAGTCTAACTAGGAAGAAACCACTTGACCTTGGAGTAGAAGAGGGGCTCTGCCCTCATGGATGTAGGAATGAATATACAACTTACTAAATATTGCTGCTTGTTGTTGGGAGTTGTGGTAGTGCAGGAGAAGTGCTTGTGGAAGGGGAGCAGAGTGGCTTGTCAGCTAAGCATGATTTAAACACACTTCTTAAGTAGTTCTATGGTTTTAAATGTAAAACAAAGTTATGAAATATAAAACTTTAATCACTGCTGACCAGGAAAGAAGTCAGATGTCTAGTGACTTATATCACATCTGGTTATGTGATGCTGAACTGGCGCTGAAACTTTTCAGAGTACTGAAATCATCTGATAACTGCTCTTTTTCTTAAAAAAAAAAAAAAAGCCCAAGCAAAAGAAAACAAAATTAGAAGTGTTTTTCAAAGGCCTTTCTGGTCATGCTCTAGTTGAGGATCTATCAAAAAAGACCAGTTTTCTTTCAGTGACTCAGAAGCTTCCTCTGGTGAATGCTGGCATCTCTCCTCTGGCATTTAGTGCTGGTACCACGGAATTGATGTTGGATTCAGTGTCTGACTGTTTCACCAGGGCTGCGGCTACCTGCGTGTTTACAAAGACCTTTCCAAACACTGAGTGTGGATTATCCTTCTGGAGTCTGCCAAGGAATCATTCTCCTGTTTTTCAAACCACTGGAGTTGCCCTCTGTTGGTTTGTAGCTGCCAGCAGGAACACTGACTTGGATATTTACTTTAAAAACTCTGTGGGTAGAAGTGAAAGAGTTGGTCTGGTAATAGTGGCTAGTTCAGTTTGCACTGAGGGGAGGTTTTGCCTTTGGGAAGAAAATTGATCCAAGAGGAAATTTGTTGTTGAAACATTTGGTGTTTCCAGAGACGCTCTGCCTGTGCAGAGGCACTTCTGCAGGAAGTGATGAACTCAGTCACTGCTTTTTTTTTTTTTTTTTTTTTTTTTTGGATAAGGAGGGATAAACAGTTTATAGAAGGTAATGTCACCTTTGTCCAAGCTTGGGGTTGTTTTTTGGTTTTTTTTTTTTTTTTTGGTAAGGAAAAGAATCAAAAGCTTTTACTCTGCATTCTGAGAGAAGCACTTGATTCCCTGGTATTTTAGTAGCCTGTTTTTGTACCTGCTCCAGTTTGAACTTCCTCTGAGTTGGATAAGGGGTGAAGTGCTGTGCTCTGTGCATGGCAGTCGTGCACCCTTTTCTACTGCCAAATTACTGTATCCAAGGACCCCAGTTTCTAATGGAGGTGACTGGTGGTGTTTTGTATTTGACTGATGCACTTGGGTCCTTCTGTCACCGTTTTATGGAGCTGAAATCCCACTTCAGAGACTAACAAGAACCTTTTGTGATGCTGAACTAGTCACATACCTTTGTGAGGAAGTTTCATCCCATTTCTATTGCTCAGATCTTCAGAGTCATTCAGGTCTTCCTGTATAGAATCCCTGTAGAGGAAAGTCAGTGTATTTCCTAGGTTTGACTTTAGGATTTTTAGTTGGTAATTTGTTTTACTATTTTTTGTGCTAAGGTGGTTACTAAGAATATAAATTCATTGGTTTCTTAGCTGATAATTTAATACCATTTACAGCCTTCTAATTGTGTCGCTTTTTAATCACAACTCATTTTTATCTAATTCATGGTGGACTTCAGTTGTTCTGAGAATTCCAGTCTTTTCCAGTTTGACACCATGAATGGTATCAAATGCTGAAGGCTGGATGACTCTGCTGTCCCTCTCCTAGGAAGTGTACTGGAGCAGGGAAAGAACCAGCTGATTTGTTAAATGCACTTAAAATAATTCTGTATTTTTGCTGGTTTTCTGTATTTCCATCAAAGCAGGAGGAAGTAAACTTAGTCAAAGATACTTTGATGGTAAAATGTGAGTGACTCATAGACTTCTAAAGTGAGAAAGCAAATTTTTTTTGTTTTGCTTTCTAGCTATGAGGATGTGACAGTAAGTTCCTGAAAAGTTTAAAATGTACTTCTGTATTATGATTACTCTGAGAGAGTAAAAACTCTTCTATGTTTTCAAATCTAAGGTCCTGCAAAA